TCCCGGGCGTTCTTTGTCCAATGTGAGCTTAACTTCCAAGCTAAGCCGAAATCTTTCCGTACCGGCCGAACTAAGGTCAACTTCGCGCAATCATACCTCAAGGGCATGGCCCTTGAATGGTTTGAGCCGGACCTCCTTTCGGATGATCTAGCGGATCGTCCGGATTGGATGGATGACTACTCCGAGTTCATGTTAGAACTCCAAACTAACTTCGGACCTCACGACCCGGTCGGAGATGCGGAAATGCAGCTGGAACAGCTCTATATGCGCGACGGACAGCGCATCAACAAGTATGTTGTAGAGTTCCAGCGGCTAGCTTCCCAAGTCCGAGGTTGGGGCGACGGAGCTTTGCGCCGTCAGTTCTACAACGGACTTCCGGCTCGCATCAAAGACGAAATCAGTCGTCAAGGAAAACCCACCACTCTGTCCCAATACAAAACTCTCGCCCAGACTATCGACGCTCGATACTGGGAACGCAAGGGAGAAGTCTCCCGCGAAACCAAACCCTCCGCATCCGCGCCTCCTGCTAAGCAGTCAGCTTCCACTTCCGACCGGAAAGAGTACTCCGGCGGAAAATCCGGAAACGCTTCGGCTTCCTCCTCCGCCAAACTTCCGGACTTGACGTCCAAGCTCGGAAAAGACGGCAAACTCACCTCCGAGGAACGCCAGAGGCGCATGGAGAAGAAGCTCTGCCTCTTCTGCGGCGGACCCGGTCACACTGCCCGGGACTGCCTAAAGTCCACTTCCCGTGCGGCCAAAGGTCGTGCTAGCACGGTGACTCCGGAAGCCAAACCGGAGGTCTCGGAAGAGACAAAAAATTAGTCCGCAACCCTCCTGACTCCGCGCGGGACGAGGGTTGCGTTGACTCAACCCGTGCAATGGAGCTACGTCTCAACGCTATTTCCTTTTCCGATCCGAACTCTCTAGTACCATCCGTTTCAATTTCTACTTTTCCCGATATCTCTCCGTTTCCGGCTCTTGTAGATTGTGGATCGTCTCATTGTTTTATAGAAACCAGATTAATCCGAGAAAATAACATTCCAACCTATGCAATTCCTCCGCTTCCGCTCCATCTGTTTGATGGTACTTCTAATGCCACTATTACTGAGGCAGTAGATTTACCGATCCGGTTTCCGACCGGCGTGGTTACCTCCGAAACATTTTATGTTACTCCGCTGGACTCATCCTGTTCCATCGTTCTAGGATATAGCTGGCTCACCCGACACAATCCGTTGATTGACTGGGTAAAGGGCAGCATCGATTTCCGTCCGATTCCTCATGGAGTGCCTCCGACCCCTCCGACCTCTTTTCCGCCGGCTCCGGCGGAAATCCCTTCCTCAACCTCGCCGAGTCCCTCCGCTGATAATGCCGGTCCTAATATTTCCCTAATCAATGCAGTTGCCTTTTGCCGGGCCTGTAAATTAGAGGGATCGGTTCAGTTCAGTATTTTTGTTCGTCCGTCCGGTGTCAATCTCCGCTCCGCTACACTCTCCTCCGAAACCTCCGAACCTATCCGGAATTCCCTTCGGAATATCACGAGTATGCGGATGTCTTTGATAAGGGCAAAGCCGGACAGCTCCCTCCCCATCGTCCATATGATCTAAGATCGAATTGGAAGAAGGAGCGGCTCCGCCCCTTGGCAACATCTATTCCCTTTCTCCCGGTTGAGCTTGTAGCTCTTCGCAAATTCCTTGATGAGAATATTGCGACCGGACTTCTTCGTTCCTCATCCTCTCCGCACGGAGCCCCTGTCCTATTCGTCAAAAAGAAGGACGGCTCCCTATGCCTCTGTAGATTTCCGAGGACTCAATAAATTCACAAAGAAAGACCGCTACCCGCTTCCCCTCATTTTCCGACCTTCTCGATTCTCCGAGCCGCGCTAAAGTTTACACTAAGATCGACCTCCGGTCCGCATACCATCTAGTCCGGATGGCGGAAGGAGACGAGTCGGAAAAACTGCTTTCCGGACGCGCTAACACGGCTCGTATGAATGGTTGTTATGCCGGAGGGTCTCACCAATGCTCCGGCGGCTTTCCAGCGCTTTGTCAATACCATCTTTGCGATATGCTTGACATTGTGTTACTTGTGCACCTCGTACGACATCCTCATCTATTCGCAGACCTTGCATCTCATAAAAAACACGTCCTTGAAGTCCTCCGACGCCTCCAGAAGCATCGGCTATATGCTAAACCGGAGAAGTGCGAATTCCATTCCGACTCTGTAGAATACCTCGGTTACCTCCTATCTCGGCCGGACTTACCAATTCGTCTCGGACAAAGTCCAGACTATCTTCGACTGGCCGGAACCTCGGAAAGTCAAGGATATTCAATCGTTCCTCGGATTCGCCCAATTTCTATCGTCGCTTCATCTTTAACTACTCGGATATTGTAGTTCCGCTTACGCGGCTCACTCGCAAGGATGCTCCCTGGAATTTCTCCGAGGATTGCCGGAAATCTTTTGAAACTCTCAAGAAAGCCTTCACTACCGCTCCGGTGCTTACGCACTGGATGCCGGATGTTCCTATCGTCGTTGAGACGGACGCTTCCGACTATGCTATCGCCGGAATACTTTCTATAGTATGTCCGGACCAGGAGCTCCGCCCGGTTGCTTTTTACTCCCGACCCTTTCGGCTCCGGAACTCAACTATGACACCCATGATAAGGAACTTCTAGCTATCTACGAAGCTTTCCGGTCCTGGCGACACTACCTTGAAGGCTCTGCCGAGCCGATAGACGTCGTCACGGATCACAAGAACCTTGAGTACTTCGCTACCACAAAACTCCTCACCCGCCGCCAGGCCCGCTGGTCGGAATACCTTCACAGTTCAACCTCATTATCCGTTTCCGACCCGGAAAACTCGGAGCTAAGCCCGACTGCCTAACTAGACGTTGGGACGTCTACCCCAAAGAGGGGGATAAGGACTACGCTCAAGTTAATCCACACAACCTCCGGCCGATATTTACCACAGAACAGCTCGCTTCGTCCCTCCGGGCATCACACCTAGCAATTCCGGTGCTCCGGACAGCTGTACTGATGGATGTCGAGCAGCTTCATAAGGACATTCTGTCCGCCCTCCCTAATGACCCTATCGCTTCCTGTCATCTTCCGGATCCGTCGGACCCGAGATGGACAGTGGACGAGAGTGGTTTCCTCCGTTGCGACAACCGTATATACGTTCCAGAATCCAATGACCTCCGTCTCCGAGTGCTCCGGAATACGCACGACCACCCGCTATCCGGACATTTCGGTCAGAACCGGACCCTGGAAGTTATCCGTCGGGAATATACCTGGCCCGGAATCCGCGCATATGTGAAGGACTATGTTAAGTCCTGCACGACCTGCGCCCGAGCTAAAGTTCCGCGACACAAACCATATGGATTATTGAAGAAACTTCCTGGATACTCGCAACCGAACTCGGAAATGCGCCGGAACTTCTATCGGATTTCCATTCAGCATATCCGGACAAGCCGGGACCAACTTCTAACAAAGAGTAAGGAAAAACATGCATATATGTACATTATTTAGGCGTCCGACATCCGGACTTCGGATCCGACGACCTAAGAGTCCATCTCCATGTCTCCGCCGGATCCGCCGGCCTCTTTTTCCGCCTCCTCCTCATTTTCCTCCTCCGGAGCATCTTCTACATGCATCCGGAAACCGCCCCTCAGACTCTCCATGAAGAGAGTCTGAAACTCCCTCTGCTCCTCCATGAACCGGAGCATGGTCTCACTCACCCGGTCCATCGCAGCTCTACTTCCCTCCGCCGCTGCAATACCCCTCTCCATCAGCCCATTCGTCCGGGCCAGTTCCGCAACTATGTTGTTGGCGGCTGCGACCCAGGCCTGGTCGTCGTACTCCGCCCAGTCTTGATCCTCTCCAATAACCGTCCGGGGATTGGAGACTATTTCTATGTCGTCGTCGATGTCCTCCGGACTGCGCTGACGTCTTTTTCCTTTGCCCTTGGGGCTCGGAGATCCCTCCGGACGCGCGCGTTTCTTGCCTTTGCCTTTGCCAGCCGGCGCCTTGACAGGCGGATTTCCGCCGACGCACTTTTCCTTGGACGCGCGGCACTGGTCACACGTCCGGATCTTTCGGAAATCATCAGTAGTCATCCGGATCCGGACAAAACAGAAAAACTCACCCTAGGCGTCCTAGACGCTACTGCCCAGGTGCAAATCTTGCGCCTAAGGACGCACATCTCACACGCAACCTCCGGATCCGCCGGACCGGAGGACTAAAAATTGTTAAACTCCGGAAAAAACGCAAAAAACCTCATCCGACTCACCTCCGACACATTACCCATCCTAGCCTTTGCCAAACGCTCCTGCTCGCGCTCAGCCAACCTCTTCCGAGTCTCCTCGATATCCTTCCGTTTCTGCTCCTCCATCCGTTTCCGTTCCTCTTCCGCCTCCTTGCATTTGCGTTCCTCTTCCTCCGCCTCTCTCCGAGCGTCCGCCTCAAGCCGCGCAATTTCGGCCGCCATTTCCGCCTGTCTCTCTTCGAGAACCTGCCGGGCGGTCTTCTTGTTGCCGGAAGTGGAGTTAGACATGTTAAAAGCAGTAATAGGAGTTAAAGGGAAAGTTTTAGACGTCTCATGGGCGCCCCGGCCTACTTATATGCTCAGTGCTATTTTTACGAGCTCCGCCCATCATCTCGCATTCATAAAAGTCCGGTCCGGACTTCCGAATCAGAAGCCTCGTGGGCTCGGCCCTAAAGGGGGGATACTGTCATATCCCGCGTTCCGGACCCGGACCTATCACACTCATCATTTCCGGATTTCCGGATCCGGCCGACTTCTATGTATCGTCCGGATCCGACCCGCGTCTAACTTCCGCGCCTTATCCCTTTGGTATTTCCCTTATCAGTTAGTACGCTTTATTTTCCGTTCCTCATTCATCTCCGTCTTCATTTTACTAAGTTCCGATAGACTAGTGATAGTCGTACCATATGTTTTCTTCATAGCTTTACATAGCTTCGCACTGCACTTACTATTCTCCGTTATGTCCTCAGTAGTATATAAACCCCTGTACAATCTCTGTAGTTTCCTCAGTTCGAATATCATATTAGACTCTGCTCATTCTCTCCTCCGTCCGACTTGAGTTTCTCTCTCGTCGACCTCCGCTCGTCTTAGGATCGACTCCTATAGACTTGACACCTCCGCCTCTACCTCTGGTAGTCCTCCGCTGTTTCCTTTCTAGTTCGGACTTCGTCCGGATTAGTCTTATCTCTTGTTTCCGAACGTCCGCCGGAATTCCCGCGCATCGGACATCGGACTCCGGACATCGCCCGACGCCCTCCGGACATCGTCCGGTAACCTTCGGACATCGTTCAACAACCCTCGGAAGTTAGGGGCACGTACTCGGGTAAGGGGCGCAGCGCACGAGCTGAAGCCAAGCCCTTCGGATCCGACCCTTGAGCACGTTCTTAACAGCTGGGCTCTGCGTGGCAGCGAGACAAATTTTGAAAGATGTAGAAGATATCAAGAGGAAGAGGGCGAGGAAACATGGTCACCTTTTGAAGATGCGTAAGTGTTCGAATGTGCTGGTGGCAAGGGGAACTAAATATATATAACTCACCAGCGAAGAATGGGATTTGGCCCAGTGGCTCATAAAAAACCTTGGTCAGACACGGACTGATGAGTTCTTGAAGTTACCAATAGTACGTTGAAAAAGTTGACAAAACTCACATTATTGACACGGTGACCAGACACAAAATCGCACTAAAGTCTCCTTTCATAACAACCGCTCGTTCTTGCAGAGGGTCGACCAACTACCACATGGACCAGATTGGAGCTGCAGGAAGGTTACCGTGCGTGGTAACCATGATGATGAGAACGGGGTACCATTGCAAGAGGACATCGAACTTTGGAGCCGTGATCCTTTGGAGTGTGTCAAAGAGCTTATCGGCAACCCTTTGTTCAAGGAGGATATTGCATACTCACCTGCCAGAGCATATGCAGATGCTGCGGGGCAACACAGAGTGATCAATGAGATGTGGACGGCAGACTGGTGGGGTGAGACACAAGTAAGAAATTCAAGAGGGAGCAATACAAAAATGGACTGACCTCGTATCAAGAAAGCCTTGCCCAAAGGTGCGACTATAGCACCAATTATTCTATCGTCAGACAAGACCTGCTTGTCGCAGTTCCGAGGGGACAAGTCTGCGTGGCCGGTGTACATGTCTATTGGCAACATATCCAAAGCAAAAAGGCGTCAAGCATCAGCACGAGCAACTGTCCTCATCGGTTACTTACCTGCAGGGAAGTTGGACTGCTTCACCTCAGATGCACGCTCCCTGGCCGGATACAGGCTGTTTCATCATTGCATGAGTCTACTCCTCCACCCTCTCATAGCCGCGGGACGAGACAGTGTTGAAATGGTCTGTGCAGACTCGCAGATTCGGCGTGTCTACCCCATACTGGCTGCGTATGTCGCCGATTTCCCGGAGCAGTGCTTGGTATCTTGTTCCAAGGAGAATCGCTGTCCAAAGTGTCTGGTAGCAGCAAATGAGCGAGGCGATGGACTCACCTCTGTGAAGCGTGACCCAGAGTCAATGAAAGATACTCTGGAAAGGCGCAAGTTAGGTCAGCATCCTCCGGAATTTGAGGAAAACGGTCTACGTGCCATTTATAAACCATTCTGGGCCGATTTGCCTCATTCCAACATCTTCCTGGCATTCACTCCCGATCTTTTGCATCAACTCCACAAAGGAGTATTCAAGGACCATCTTGTGAAGTGGTGTGTTGACATTGTCGGCGAGGAAGAGATGGACGCGCGATTCAAGGCGATGCCGGATTATCCGGGGCTCCGTCACTTCAAGAAAGGTATATCGGCTGTTAAACAATGGACCGGAACTGAGCATAAAGAAATGCAACGAGTGTTTGTTGGGTTACTCACCGGAGCAGTGCCTAGGTCCGTGTTTGACAACTCTTTGAAGACCGTGTTTGTTGATGTTGTGGCCTGTCAGCCGTGTCTTGGTAGTTGCGCGTTCAATTATTGACTTTTCCTATTACGCGCAGCTGCAAACTCACACAATGGACACGCTCAAAGCCCTACAGACTGCCCTGGGAGTCTTTCACGCCAACAAAGATGTCCTGAAGGAACTCGCCGTTCGACAGCATTTCAACATACCGAAGTTACACCAATTAACTCACTATGTTAATTCAATCACGTTGTTTGGTGCTGCTGATGGCTTTAATACTGAGCTTCCCGAATGCTTGCATATCGACTTTGCGAAGGACGCTTACCGTGCAAGCAACAAACGTGACTATGAGGAACAAATGGCCTTGTGGCTTCAGCGCCAGGAAGCTGTGTTTTTGCGTGGTGCATACCTCGATTGGTTATCGCAACAACCTCTCTTGGCAGGTCGCGGAGAGCATCATATGTTTGACTCGGACTCAGACTCCGAGTCTGAAGAAACAGACTCTCCCAAGTCAAACACAGCACTGATATCGCCATTGGCCGCTGCCGAAGAAGTTCAAGTGACCCAGCACATCGTTGCGAAGGTTCCAGCATATCCTAACCAAACTGTTGCAAGAATTACGACAGCCTATGGTGCCACTGATTTCCTCGCTGCTCTCCAAACGTTTCTTCGCAAGAACCTCCTGCACAACACCATCGTACCTAGCCTTTATGACCGTTTTGATGTTTATCGTCATGTGGTCATCATAGCGCCACCAGATCGACGAGTCAGCGATACACCTAAACGGTGGCACGTTAGAGCAACACCCGAAGTTGCTGCATCAGGGCGGAATCCTGGTCGTCCGGCTTGTTTTGATATGGCACTGATATCAGACAGGCCTCGGTCTTCACGCTTGCGCGCTCTTGATGGTAAGATGTTTCTGGGTGCTCGAGGATCATAGTATCTAATGTGTGATCTCCTGCAGATGTGCGAGTGGCTCAGGTTCGCACTATATTCTCCCTCCCTCGTCAATTCGGCACTTACAACAGGGCCCTCGCTTATATCGAGTGGTTTACGCCATTCAGACCTCCAGATCCCCCCTCTCAAATGCGACAGGTCTCCCGCTCGACACGCCAACTCCGCCGCAATGCGGCAGTAATCCATGTCGATGAAATGGTGCGACCGTGCCATCTAATACCAAAGATGGGCCATTCAGTGGATGCGAGGTTGAGAAGTGGAAACGGATATGAGGTGGCGAGTGATTTTTATTTTAACGAGTTCATTGACGGCGAGATGTTTGGTGTGTCTGTCATAAATAGTTTGTAGACAGGTTAATATCACACGAGCGCTGTAGCTGCCTGGACTGACCTGTAGCAAATATTTCTCCAGCTGACTCCTGTAGCGGCGACTTTGGGCTATATAGTACTATATAGTTGTATGTAGCTTGAAGGGTGCCTATATAGCGCTACTGTGGCTACTGTAGCTTGAAGGGTGCCTATATAGTGCTACAGTTGCTACAGTAGCTTGAAGGGTGCCTATATAGTGCTACTGTGCCTATATAGCTCTATGTAGCTGTCACCAGGGCTACGGCATTTTGAGTTTTTTACTGATGTAAGTATATAGTGCGTACTGAAGTATACACACAATTGTACTTACATAGGCCAAACGAAATGTATCTGCACGAATTGGACAAGAGTTCGTGTATGTGGGCTTGTAAAAAGTTTGCCAAGGATGACATGGGCATGAGAGATTGTTGGATGGGACATCTGAAACGCCAGAACGAAGAAAAGTCAGGGAATGAATACTTTCACTTGATAGAGACGACAAATGATGTGGCCATATCTTGAGATGTAGTCCGAGTTGAGCAGAGCGGCTAGCTGCAACGTCCATAATTAAACAGCGGAGTCGATCAATACCAAAACTCGGTGCTGACTACTAACAAATAGCTAGACGCTTGCGACCATGCAGATGAATCTCCAAGTCATATTTATTGAGGTTAGAATGCACGCTCTCGTGAAGACTCGTGACAATGGCTGCTTGAGATGAATCGATGAAACTTGATATCGACAGAGGGTGAGAGGTACTTGCGAATCGCGATGGTGTGCTGCAGCCTGCCAGTACTAGCCACAACAGTTGGACCCATGTGTGTCATTATGGACGTTCAAAGCTTGTTTTCGACGTTGGAGTTGCCCAAAAATAGTTGAAAACATGTTTCAGATTGGAGCAACTAGTACGCATCAAGTATTGAACTGTACTAGTAGCCCACAGCAAGTTTCATGTAATGGTTACGGTGCTCCAGCTTTTAGGGTTCAAACCATGCGGATACATTCCCCGGGGAGTTATACTCCCCAGGGAGTTATGATAGCTATAATTGATATTGTAACACCATTTCTGTCTGCGTCCACCGGGGAAAATACTAATATCCGCAAAGCGTTCTGTACTGTTCAGTCTGAGTATTCTGCTTGGGCATCAAAAGTTTTGACGTAATGATGCTTAGATAGAATCATTTAGGTAAATCTTGAATCTATTCGTACGTGATCGTCGGTGGATCATTTATTCATGTACGCGAAGACGGAGGCAAATTAGCTATTCCATAACATGAATTGCAATCAGCACGCCATAGGTCGCACTAGAAGTCGGCACTTTGGCATTTCTAGCCACTTGAACACAAAATGTTTGAGAATATCATTCTTTATCTAATATTCATTACGAAGTTGAACGTTAACAACTACGATGAAAGCAGAATTGAGTGAGATAGTTGAAAGTGCGGAAGTGTAATGTGCCGTGACGACGTGTTGATACTGCACACACCCGAGTGGGACTTATTCGCATTCACAAGTACACGAGTAAGATGGCTGATGGCAAGTAGGATGATACAGGATTGTAACCAAATGTTTCGTCTCGATGACAAAAATCAAGTTACACGGTGGAACGCTGGATCATGTAGACAGCCAAATGTTCAATTATGCTGTCAGCGAATTTCATAGAGTGGTAAAACGCTGACCTGGTGCAGTGTCCTTGTGAGCCTGCCACCATTCGATATCGCAGCTACCGCTTGGCTCATCCTCCGAACATCCCAACTCGAAAACAAGGACGTCGTCCGTTACACAAGAAAGTTTTCTGTGCCAGTTCAAGCTGTCTTGCCCTAGCACAATGTTATCTAGTTTCGCGACCCGTGGCGGTCGGACGTCAAACGATAGCGTTGAAATATCAACTGGTACAGTGGCATTGAGGCGATATAAAGCAAGCGTAGTTGGTCGGTCCATAGGCGGAACGGCGACGTGCAATTCGCAATTTTCCATGCCCCAGTCAATCGCCCTGAATTGAAATATTGTTGAAACCTTTTATTCCATCAGTCTATAGAACACAGAAAAAAGGAAGATAAACTGACAGATTGTGTAACGTGGACTTTGCGGTCATCAGGAGAGATTGTGCCGGCACGTGTCGTGCGCATCGCAAGATAGTCATTGAAAACATGACTTGGCGCAGAATGATCCACCAAGCTGACAGACATGGGGAAACTTGTGAACTCTCTCGGAATAGGAGGCGACGTCCGTGCGATCCTGTCGAACCGCATATATTGAGAAGGACGACGAAGAAGGTGAACATTCTTTCGAGTAATAAGTTTGTCTGAAAATACTGAAGAGTCTTGGAGAAAGGCAGGGTATAGACCAGTAACAGGTTAAGGAATGTGCAGAAGATTACGATGACAAGAGGCCAATGGAGCACAGACTGCACAGTTCGTGAAGTTTCATGCAGCTTGAAGTTTGCTGTGTGGTCGTCAGCACTCTCAGAGTCAATGACTTCTTGTGGTGTCAGACTCAATGGCCTGTATGACTTAGAGCGTGAGGAAAAGAACATGACGGGGAGAATGACTTGGACTTGAAATTGATCATGATAGCAAGGGTGATTTGAAGAGCAGTGGACGCGACCGAGTGATCCGATTAGCCGGCACTTACTGAGTTATTGTTATTACATAATTATCGGATGTCTGTCGTGGACTCGGATTGATCAGCGGGAAAATTGAAGTATATCAATTCTCTTTATGCATATAAGGTATGTCATTCAGATGTTTACGGCTCATTACCCCAATTGACTAGAGTCCTTCAAGCAATATCTGATCAAAAGGTGATCAAGAGACTCGAGGTGTCGGAGATGTGTGGAAGTGGCTTGTGTAGCAGCTCAGCTCAGCGGACGTGCGAAGTCAACTATGATGTATTGGTATATACCTGTAGCAGCTCAGCTACAGGGATTGTTAGTTAGGTACATGACGTGTATACGAATATACTACTAACCTCAGCGGACGTGCGAAGTCAACTGAGGAAGGTTACGAGGCGCGGGAACGAATGGTATTTGTATGCAGGTAGAAATGAAACGGTACCGAAGGTCCATAGTAACGAGGATTGATATACAACACTCCCCCTCAAACCGAGCGTAGGCCGAGGGCGGAGGCAAAATGTTTGACTTTGAGACTAGGAAGGGGTTTCGTAAGGGTATCTGCGACCATATCATCCGTAGGGCAGTAAACCAAAGAAATAGAGCCTTTGTCAACAGAAAATCTAATAAAATGATACCGGATATCGATGTGCTTAGTCCGGGCATGAAACGCCCCGGACTGAGCAAGCGCTATTGCAGACTGGTTGTCGCAATGAAGGACGGTAGGCTGGGTGAGTGGGCGAAAGACTTCGCTGACGAAGCGTCGAAGCCAGATGGCCTCCTTTGCGGCGAGCGTCGCTGCAACGTATTCCGCCTCTGTCGTCGAGAGGGTCACTAACTCCTGCTTCTTCGACCCCCAGGATACTGCCCCGCCGTCTAACAAGAACGCGTATCCAGACACCGCGTGTCTGTGTTCCTGCGACGCACCGTCTGCGTCCGAAAACCCTTCCAGTCCTTGCCTGCAGCTACCGAAGGTGAGTGCGAGTTTCTTCGTCCCAACCAAGTAGCGATAAATCTTCTTCACAGCCTCCCAATGAGGCATCCCAGGGTTTGCGCCAAACTGCGCGACGGTCGAGACAGCGAACGCGATGTCGGGTCGCGTGCCCACGGCTAAGTGCATCAGCGAGCCGATGGCTTCGCGATACGGAATGTTCCTCATAAGGGCGGTTTCGGCGGGTGTTTTGGGAGATTGCGAGAGGGACAAGGGTACATTCGGATCCATCGGGATGGAGCAGGGTTTAAAGTCGACGAAATTGTACTTAGCTAGAATAGCTTCAATATAATTTTCGTGCGAGAACGAAATAGTGCGGGCGACGCGATCGCGAGTGACTTTCATACCGAGAAGAGAGGCGACAGGTCCTAAGTCTGTGAATTTAAAGCGTTCGGCGACCTGTTGTTTGAATTGAACGATGAGTGAAGAGTTACTGCCGGTTATGGTGCAGTCGTCAACGTGTGAAGCCAGGATAAGGATGTCCGTGCCTGTGTGCTTGAAAAATACTCCCCAGTCTGATTCTGCTCTCGTCATGCCAAGACTCTTCATTAAGCGGCAAAGCTCCAAGTACCATTTCAAAGCCCCTTGCTTTGATCCGTATAGTGCCACGTGTAAACGCGCGACAGGATGCTTGAGGTCGGATTGGACGTTGAGTCCGGGAGGTAACTGCATGTAGATGATTTCGTCGGGGTCCAATTTGCCGTTGAGGAAGGCGCTATGGAAATCGAAGACGTCGATGTCCCAGTCGTTGCGCGCGGCAATTGCCGTTATCGTCCGGAGAGAAGCGAGGCGTGCGACCGGCGCATACGTGTCGTAATAATCGACGCCGTGTACCTGTGAGTAGCCTTTTGCGACTAATCGAGCTTTGTACTTATCGATTTCACCATCCGCGTTTCTCTTGATATGGAAAACCCATTTGCACCCAACGATATTTGCTCCCGGTGGCTTTTCTACGATCGACCACGTGTTTGCATCTTTGAGCGCGGTGAGTTCTTTGTTGATGGCATCGTCCCATTTAGGCCAATCGTTTCTCTTATTGGCTTCCTCTAGCGTTGTGGGGTCCATTCCCTGCACTTCTTCGACTGCGGCGATCATCGCGAAAACTTCCTCCTCGTCTTCGTCCACTCCTTCCCACTCATCGACAATTCCTAGCTCGGCAGCTAGATTGCTATGCTCCCCCGCAGGTCGCATTCCCTGAGGTAAGTCGGTGCTTTCGCCATCGGTAGTGCCGGTCCCGTCTCTCAAACTCTTGATGTAGGCTGATTCCACCCTCATTCTCCCGGATCGGCGCAGTACTGGTGCCCCTTCGAAGGCTGGACCCAAGTGGTCAGTGGGAGGTGGATTGGAGCTTGGGATGGATGGTTCTCCGGTACGTGTTGAACCGACATCATCGATTCGTACCGTGCGGCTAACCGGTTGTTTAGGTGTTGAACCGACATCATCGATTCGTACCGTGCAGTCTGCCGGCACGTTACCCCCTTCTATTGGTACTACGACCTCCTCTGTGTCAAATGTGACACTCCTTTCGACAGCGACACGCCTGGCATCTGGTAGGTACACGCGATGTCCGTTACTCTCTGGGTCAAAACCCATCCATCGGCCATCGATGGCGCGCATATCCAGCTTCGAGCCAGCTGTAGTATGGACCTTTACACGGCATCCCCACACAGGTGTGTTGCTCAAGTCGGGCTTCTTTTTGTACAGCGTTTCATATGGCGTTTTGTTTTCTAGCGCGCGGGTCGAGGTACGATTCTTTAACCATGTGACGTGCATGATTGCTTCTCCCCACAGGTATTTTGGTAACCCGCTCGCGTGGAGTAACGCGCACGCGCGTTCGACAACGGTTCTGTTCAACCGTTCAGCCACTCCGTTGTGCTCAGGCGTATCGTGTACGGTGAGTTTCCGTTCCGTCCCTTTACTCTTAAGATGACGCGTGAATTCTTCGCTAGTGAACTCTCCCCCGCGGTCTGAGCGGAGACGCTTCACCTTCGCGTCGAGTTGGGTGTTAGCCCAGGCTTCAAACTTGGTGTAGGCATCAAAGGTTTGGTCCTTCGACCTTAGCAGGTAAAGGTGCGTGAAACGCGTGTGATCGTCCGTAAACGATACGAAGTACTCCTTCTGACCAGGAGTTTTGACAGGTGAAGGGCCCCAGAGGTCACTGTGAACCTCGTCCCCGAAGTGTTCGCGTTTAGGAGGATCTCGGACTTTGCCAATCGGCTTGCGTGTGGCCTTCGCGTACTCGCAGGAGTCGCATTTGTCCAAGGTGAGTTCTGAAGGATCTAGCGTAATTCCAGTAATGACACCATCCTTTAGCATGCGCTTGATGCTATCGGGAGCGACGTGGCCCAATCTGGCGTGGACGTCACGCATAGTGAGTGCTTCGTTTGTCTTTGCTGCTCCCGCGAATGGTCTTTTAGGGCCTCTTATACAATATAGACCTTTATTAACCGGAATTTCTCCCAACAGCTTTCTTTTATCGTCGAAGATCTTGCAAACACTCTCCCGGAACAGTGCGGCATATCCTGCTGCAGCGAGGCGGCTTATCGAAACGAGAGTCACGCCCATTTTGGGCGCGTATAGGACATCCTTGAGTAGTATGCGCGTGCTCGAGCTGCCATTCGGCAATGAGATCATGATGTTGCCTTTACCGGTTGCTTCAAAGGTATGTTTGTCAGCGGTTGTTATCGGCTTTGGAGCTGTATTAACGAAGTCTTGAAACAGGTCACGATACGACGACATGTGTCGTGATGCACCGGAGTCAAACAACTCGATCCGTTGTTCTCGGTGTTGGTTCGAGTTCGTTATTATCGAGTACGTGTACGTGGTCTGCTCGTTTGTTTCAGCGGCTTCATGTGCTAACCAAACACCTTCAGGCTCATCGTCGTTTGCCTTGTCTTTGGCGCTGGCGGCCGTTTCGGATTTCTTGTCCTTGCCTTTCCAGTCTGATCTCCCTTTGCCACTTGCTCCCCCGCCGCCAGGGCCTCTGCAATCCTTTTGCATGTGTCCGTACTTGCCACAGTTATGGCAGTTCCCTTTTATCTTTCGAGTACGCTGACCTGCATTTGCATTATAGGCCGCGTCGTCGCTCGAGGATCCGGCCTTTTTCGACTTTGATGCTCGACGATCGTACTCGTCAACGATGGTGGACATCAGCGTGTCAGCGGTGAGCTTGACGCTCGAAACCTTAGCTGACGCCGTCAGTGCGGATAGATGCGGATCATAGGACGATGGTAGGGAGCTCATAATCATAGCCGCGAAGCTTTCATCGGAAGGTACGTGTCCTAACGAGGACAGTTGTTCTTTTATCGTTCGCATCTTGTCAAAGTGCTCTCTGACATTCCCTTTTTCAGCGCATCTCTGGTCCTGGAGCTTTCGCAACAGCTCCACGGACACTACACGCGAGCGTTGTTCGAAGAGACTCGAAAGGTGTGTGAAGATCTCCTTTGCCGTGTCTAAGTTTTTAATTTGAATAAACAGAGAGTCAGGGATTGTCCCCGCTATCTGTTGCTTCGTTATTGCCTGGCCCGTGCGCCATTCTTTTAGCTCGGTCTTGTATGTGCTGATTTCCTTTACTTCGTCTGGAGTAGCAGGTACCCACGACGCTCCTCTGTTAGGCAGCGTCTGGGGATCTATAGGCTTCGTCTCGGTGCCATCCAAATGGCCGAGCAGCCCTCGAGCGTCTATCGACCATTGTAGACGCTCCTTGTACATCATCCAGTTCTCTCCGTCGGCAACGAGCTTCGGGATACGAAGGAAGTCCTCTCCGAGTTTTCCGTTCGAGGTAGACATTTCTTTTGAGTATGTTCTTCGCGCGCTTAATTTGAAATTTTCACTTTAGGTGCGCAGGGCTCATAACCTGTAGCAGCTCAGCTCAGCGGACGTGCGAAGTCAACTATGATGTATTGGTATATACCTGTAGCAGCTCAGCTACAGGGATTGTTAGTTAGGTACATGACGTGTATACGAATATACTACTAACCTCAGCGGACGTGCGAAGTCAACTGAGGAAGGTTACGAGGCGCGGGAACGAATGGTATTTGTATGCAGGTAGAAATGAAACGGTACCGAAGGTCCATAGTAACGAGGATTGATATACAACAGCTTGCTCATTGCTATCAGCATCTTGTGGGTCCAAAATATCGCAGGCACTACTCGAGGCCGTCGCAATTGAGTTATTGGCGACTAAGACTGTACTTGTTGACAATACATACCGTAGTATACCTGTATCGTAACGGCGCTCGGCGGCCTTGACACCATGCCATAAGATCATCTTCTCGCAAGATAAGCCTAGTTGATGTCCAACGCCAGTTGGTGTGCACATGCTGTACTGAGTGTACGTATACCTTGTAACAATCAGTGTAATCTCGCGCAGTAGATGGACCATCATGAAACAAGTTCAAACCTAATTATTGGGAAGAGAAGGCAGCGGGAACAGTTTACTCAAATCACCGTGAATGATGATTGGTTCGCGTGTTAAGACCAATTACGAAATCAACCTCGAAGAATATTAATCATGTACAGCGCTAGCACGATGATCAGCCTCCCAAACACCGCCGTTTCATCTCAGGCGATGGACAAACAATCGAAATAGTCCAGTTTGAACGTTGGAACATCCATGTATACATAAAGGGTTGCGTCCTACTCGTTGCTAGCTCGCTCTCGAAACAAACCCCATAGTACGAACAACTTCCAATGGCTGAAGTTACGGGCAACGTAGATTTCAAAGTCGGAGACGACACGTACCAGACTTGGTACAAAATCGTCGGCGATCTCACTTCGGGTGTCCACCCTCTCATCGTGCTGCACGGCGGCCCCGGCGTCTCGCATGAGTATATGACACCTCTCGCCGAAATTCACAACAAATGTAACATCCCTGTCGTCTTTTACGACCAGATCGGCATCGGAAAGTCCATTTTTGAAGGTGTGGCGGGCAAGCCAAAAGAGTTTTGGACTGTTGATCTCTTCATGGATGAGCTGGAAAACCTTATTGTCCACCTTGGTATCCAGAATGGCTTCGCTCTTCTGGGTCACTCCTGGGGAGGGATGCTTGGGGCGCACTATGCCAGCCACAGACATCCTGTGGGTCTCAAACACCTCGTCATCACCGGCGGAGCACCGTCCATGGCACTGTGGGAACAGAGCACCGGCCAGTTGCTGAAAGCGCTGCCAGCGAATATAAGGGAGATGATTGAAAGGCACGAGAGGGAGGGAACGACGGATAGCCCCGAATATCAACAAGGGATGGGGATCTTCTACGAGAAGCACGTTTGCAAGACCCCCTGGCCGAAGGTGATGGAATTGTCCTTTGCGGCTATGATGCAACATCCCACCGTGTATCATACGATGTAGGTGATGTCTCGATGCATCTTTCTGACATGTACTGATCATGATTGCCAGGATCGGTCCGTCAGAGTTTACGATCACAGGAACGCTGAAGTCATGGTCATGTCTGGATCAGATTCACACAATCACGACACCTACTCTGCTCACCAACGGTGTGATGGACGAAGCGCAGGACGTCTGCATGAGTCCTTTCTTCCAGAGAATCCCACATGTGAAGTGGGCGCAGTTTTCGCAGCGTCACATGCCGTTCTTGGAGGAGGAGGACAAGGAGAGATACTTTCAAGTGGTGGCTGATTTTTTGACATATGCTTGAATACTTAATCCTGTAAAATATAAGACTGAATGCACGAGAATGGAATGACCAGTGATTTGCACCTTCCACGGGTTCAGGGAAGGATCTCAAGGCGTTATCCTGCCTTAGTAGGTGAAGGATACGCGATGAGAGGGCGGCCACTGTCTGCCACATGTTAGGAGAGCTTGGAGATACTAGAACCAAATGAGCAAACTGGAATATCTGATTGAGATGGGAATCCGGATGTACATTCACTGGGGAAATGAGGAAATAGTTGTATGCGGAAAGGGTAGGATTAGGGCTTGTATACTATGGACATGAAGTGTCATACAGAAATATAATCAAAATGTACTGGTTAAATGTACAAACTCGAAGGTAGTACAGACGAAGGTAGTACAAATGCTGCTCCATTATTCTTTACATCAACTTTTAACCTTCCGCTGCATCGAGCCTTTAAAAGCCGGGGCAGGGCACACCCATTCTATTTCTTACTAGAGGTTCGGAATCATGAGCCACGTCCTACACCATCACCGGGACCTACTCACAGCTACATCGTCACTCAGGCTCCTGGCACAATCCGGGTTACTGGTGACGGGTACTGCTGGGATTTGCACGAAGGCCACAGACAAGAGTAAGATGTAAAAGCTATTTTTAGGGAGGATCGCTCATCATGGTAGTATTGAATGATACTGTTGGCTAAGACTTGTTGGTTGAGATGCGTTTTTGTGTGTGCCAGATGAGATCGTAGTTGGGCCATAATATACATTAGCTCGGCGAGGGTTTACCTAAGTGAAGCACGTTAACCTTTGGAATTGGAGAAAATGCTGATGCACAGCAATGCAGTTGCTGTCATAATGAAGTAGTTCTATCGAAATAGTCAGTGATGAGTTCACAAGTTGGATTGGAACCACTCAACAACGTCTGCATGATCCAGGCAGATCAAGCGGAGCCCAAGAGGTGGATTGGAACGTCATATAATTGTACTCACTGGAGTCTCGTCTCTCCTCGTTCGGAGCCTCGAACGGTTGACCACATCTGACTGTATGAGTTGTTCTGTCAACACCACACATATTTTTACGAATGAAGTTACATTCCGAGTCTGCACTAGGATAGAGATACCTCCTGCAGTCCACCAGCCATGAACCATAGTATTTGGTCTAGCTCGGCTGCTCACCTGTCATGTTGACTCATGAGAAAAAAATAACCTTACCTTGTATTAGGAACAGTACGCCTCACATATAATATTAGGGCATGCGCGCACCTGGAGATGCAATCGAGACACCGGGGGTCCTTAGATTAGAATGTATTGTCCTGATACTTCTGTGCAAAGGACAAAAATTAGAATGAAAAAAACCTCACCTTACGGTACATCTTTCACTGGCAGGATGGCGGAGATGTCAGTAGATCATGATGCCACAAAGCCTGGTTGCCACATGGGTGGGGTGGAAAAGCAGTTCGTTGCATTGTCTGTTATCCGTCGGTGATTTCCTAGGTACCCAACATTGTGGGCGAAGTCAAAGTTGCTGCGATCAGCATCAGCATTACGACTCAGTACTAGTTATGAGGGCTCCAGTGAAAATTCCCTTGAATTCATCGTACATGCAACCTTTAATTCACACAATGAGTACACGTACATTCTGCAGATTTTCCAGCCCTGATCGGTGATCATGAGCAGATCTTCGAAACATCATCAAATAACTATATCCGCCTTATTCAAAATACCTTCTTCTATTGCTTTGATTTCTACATTTTCGATCATCAGCAACGCTCTATATACCACAAGGAAGGAACTCACGCATGGCCAAATGGAGACTGTGGAAGCGCAATAGAGCAAAATCACCTGTTCATTGAAATGAAACTGACACGCCCATAACAAGAACGACGCAAAATACCATTTGCGAACCACAGACCATCATGCCCGCAGTACCTCCACACTCCTGCAGATTGCCCTTCTTCGTCTAGACCCCAGACCCTGGTGATTTTTGATGCGACTTCATCTCCACAGACCTCGCGCATGAAGTCACGGGGATCGCCGTAACTGTAAGCAACTATGAGTCCTGCTCGTAAAAGTAAAATATTACCATACCCCGTAGCAAATACTATTATATCTGCCTGTAGCTCGGTGCCATCAGCAAATAGAAGGCCGTTTTCCGTGAAGGACTCAATTGCGGAACCGTTCTTGATCTTGATATTCCCGTCGATGATAGATTTACTTGCTCCGGTGTCTGGAAGCTGTTGAGAGACATCTTCGTCGTGCATCAGAGGTACACCCACCGACGTAGTAGCCACCACCACGCTCCAGGTAAAGGGAGATAAGACCTGCTCCATGTATGCCAAGATTGGTCTTAAAGCCAACCTTAGCCAACCCATCTAGAATCGCTCTGCGATTGTGATTAATGCATCTGAAAGTGAGCTTCGAATCGTCCGACATACTTGTCTGTGGTCTCAGCGACCATAGGAACCATGCGTTGTTGCAGCCGCCTAACAACTGCCCAAGGCAGCGAGGTATTGTAAGTATCAGCCAGCTCAGTGGGCAAGTCTTCATTATAAACAACTAGGCAAGGAAAGTCAAGCCAAGCCACCGACAACGACGGGAACGATTACCGCCTAGCATTGCTGCCACTGACTCCTGCGAGATCACGAGCGTCGACGATCGTTGATACCTAGTAGTATTCTGTGAGATATGAAAATGACAGAACTTGAAACAAACACACATTGTGATGTCGACACCGTGATTACAGAAATCTTGAGCAATGTCATGTGCTGATAAAATATTTAGACCTCATTCGATACGAAAGATATGACCGACCGACCAGAATTGCAACAGCCGACTACGATTGCTGTTTTACCGATATGATCAGCCGCGGATTTGAACTCTGACGAGTGCACGGCAGACCCTTTGAAGCTTGCCTGCGTCCATGAGTCACGTTTAGATCACTGGTTCGAGCGTTGCATACCTTCCCAGGGATGTCGGGAACTTTCGGGCGACCGCCAGATCCAGTGGCAAAAACGAGGTGCTTAACGGTCAGAACCCTAGTACCTTTACTGCCGCGATCGACTTCGACAGACCAGGTTTTCGTGCTATCGTTCCAAGATGTCTTGGTGATCGTCGAGGCCGTCCAAACGTCGAGCTCAAGGAAACCCGCATATGATTCCAACCAGTCTGCCAGCTGCAATAGCTGGAATCAGTGAATTTTCATCATGTGGGTAATGTTGTACTTTTGCGGCTGGGGTGTAGACTGGCCATGTAGGTGGAAAGCTGTAAACCGGATTACAAAAGAATCAAAAGGAGGTCTGACAAACCACTCACTTCAGGTAAGGCGTTTGGCTGTGCCCTGTAAGTTTGTTAGTCGATCCCTTTCCGTAGAAGAAAAGGCACGAACAGATCGTAGTATGCAGACAAAGAGCCTTGTAACGATCTCTCCACTATGAAACCGCCCTCGAGCCTTTAGCTATATTTGAATACCAAAATTGTGATGGGACGAACGCTATCCCCAACCCTGGGCTTCTTATCAATAACAAGCGTGGGTACACCAATGTACTTTAAGCCTGCCGCGGTCTCCAGACCGCTGTGCCCCGCGCCGATGACAATCACCGTTGGGTCATTGTTCGGGAACTCAATCTCTTGGCGCCGCTTCTCTTCCCAACTGCCATGATCAGTCTCCCAGTTTCTGAGGGGACCGAGCTTCCGCAGAGTCAGTAAGTACTAAGTGCTCTCGAAGGAACGTGATTGCACACCTTTTGGGGGAAATCGGTCAACGAATTAAGGCAGGTCAACAGAGTGTAGGCCTTCCACTTTGAATCTGGAAGGGGAACGAGATGAACGACTGCAGTACCCTTGCCATGCTTGGTGGTAAAACCAAAGCAAAACCGCAACCAGACTAAATCGTGATAAACTTTTTGCAGAGCAGGTTCATTCAAGGGCTCCGACTGCAGGAGACGCAGTTCATTAAGTCCCGTAGCAACGAGACGAGCATCCAAGAGTTTCTTGATGTCCTTCCTTCCTTCGAATGTCCTGAAATCCCACGTCAGTGCGATCACGTCCTTCCAGAAGCCATCCTCGAGAAAGAGATCGACAACAGCTGCGGTATCACCTTGAGTCATTGCAGCCGAGAAAGCGTTGAGCCACGCGGTGGCTACCTCGGATGAGGAGACATTGGAAGGATAAGTGACCCCAAGCCGATGCAGCGTAGGTAAGCGTTGGGGAAACGAATCAGTCGCCATACTGGAACAGAAAACTGATATGTACGGATCGATGGTCTGAGATTTAGAGTGGCACTGGCATGAACCATCCTGGTTTTTAACTTTAATTGAATCTGCGAGACCAGGCTAGACCCACCTAATTATGGAAAGCCGGGGCGTTTTTGCTCACATGCATTGCCTGGTAAGGCAAAGAGCTTCGAGAGGACTCCTGACACGCCTCCGCACAGTATGGAAAGACAGACCACCTGCTCTGCTCCAACGCTTGAACCTTCCTAGTAAGGTAAGTAGTTTCTATTGGCCTCCGAACACCCTGTGCGACTATGAACGACATACCTTGCAGAAATCATGTATTTTTCCGCTGATGCAAGTCGATCGCGTCCGCAATAGACATACTTCCTAAGGATCCCGAACCTGCGAGTCCAACTTAGTCCTCCTTGAGAAATCGCCAATACCGTTCGACACGTAATGTATTCGTGATTATCAAAGTTGTCGTGAAATCCTGCTGATAAATTTGATTAGCACTACCAGTGGTCTGGGTTACTTAGCCAAGTTGACCCAAGATCATTCCGGAATCATTTCATTCTGACGCATTCTTACTAGCACGATGTCCTGATTGCTCAAGGCTCGGAGGAACGACGGTATCACCGCATGTCTCATAGCACGGCGAGTACATTCTCTGACGCGGAGTGCGGAGGCGGTCCAACCATAGGTATACGGTAGTGATTGGGCTCCGAGTCGGAAGCGTCTAGGCGCAAATTATACGTCACGTGCTGATTGAATCATTCAAGGACAATTTAAAACGTCCGGACAGTTGTACAACTAGTACAGGCGAGATCTGCGAGGAGCTTTAGCTTGACCAAGTACTGATAAAGCTATGACAGATGTGAGGGAGACGATTGAGAGGCACGAGAAAGACGGAACGACAGACAGCCCTGGATATAACCAAATGATGGGAATCTTCTATGAAAAGGACGTTTGCAAGACCCGCTGGCCAAAGGCGATGGAGACGTCCTTTGCAGTCATGATGCAACATCCCACTGTGTATCATACGATGTAGATGACGTCTCGACGTACCTTTCTGATATGTAGTATTCTTGAATGGTTGATCCTGTAGGATATAAATAAGATCGAATATACGGGAATGGAATGACTAAATTACCGCAGCAATTTGCTCCTTCCACGGTACAACGAAGGATAGGTTCAAGGGGATAATCCTGTCTTGAAAAAATAACAATGACCCTAACTAACCCTACGGGCCAAAGACAGGACTGAGTAAATTCATTGCGGACTTTCAGGATTATGTGAAGCCCTGTCGTGCTGGGCGATGTATCATCGATAGGCTATCGAGAGCGGCGGGGCACGCTTTGATAAGTGTCGAATATTCTCGTTGAATTTGTCGTACATATTTCTTGCGGATTTGAGTAATCAAATTTGCCGGGTTAAATATTGACACATATGTTGACTTTGAATAGCTGCAGCAGGTGATAAGGTAAAATGTCAGCAGAAGATTTTGTAACGTCGAAAATTTTTGGTACCCCTTCAAGTGTAGAGCGTAAAATCAGGACTTGTGTAGATGTTGAAGCTAGCAACGCGAGCTCGCCATGCATGCATGCTCTTGCAGGAGTCCTCCGGCCAGGCGCACGGCGATATCAAAACTCTTCAGAGGGCCAGTAGCGTTGACAGTAGCGCGTCTCAAACACGCTGTTGACGACAGAGTGGGGCGCTCGGGGTTTATGCGCGACTGTTCTTGAAGCTCAAGGGGGAAAGTGCTCTGTAGGTGCCAATATCGCAACAATTCCTGTCCGAAACCACTGCTGGTAGAACTGGCGCTGAAAGACTGGTGTTCGATTGAAACCTTGATGAAAGTTATGATTTGTGAAAAGCATAAAATTATGCATACCATCTGCTGCATACCGTATCTGCACACTAGACAAGATTACCCAGATCTTGAAAAATCTTTGCAAGCAAACGAGCTCCGGAAGGCTCACAACGAAATGAACGACTTCCGCATTCTTCCCGAACGAGGTGCTGAGCGACTGGATTTGAGCTGTACGGATATTCGGATAGAGGATTGCCGTGGTCTAAGTGTAGTAGTTCCCAAAGTGGATGGAGTCTGTCAAGGAAATACAGCTCGAGATTGGATCCGGAGGTGAACCGTTAGGACCGTCTAACATGAATTGGCAAACATAGGCAAATAAAGGCGCTCAACACAGGTGGACTTGAGTCGTGTCACACACGGCACATCATGGCACAAGTGTTGCGAACAGTAGCAGGCCGCATTGCTTTGGCATGTCCTTATGTCAATCGACTGGAGGTCTATGCACATCCTACAAATTTCATATAATATTTGTTGACCATCCTGTTCTACTTAATGGGCTCGCTTTCGCAAAACGTTTGGGAGTGCACAAAGATTTTATTCACCATGTTTACATACACTCATCCCGTCGGTACCGTACTATCGGGAATTGCTTCCCCGAGGATAACTTGAAGCACCACTCGACTCCATGATGGAGTAGATCGCCTCCTTGTCTGAACAGATGGATTGCCGCAATGGACTTCTTCACCCCTCGAAGTCGTGTCCAACAGCATGGACCATGACGCCATCCAACTACCCGAACACCGCTCGACGAAGGCTCAGAATCGCAGGCAGCTCAGGCGTTATTAGCTGCTCGTCCAAAATCAGCCTCTCTCGAGCATGAGGGACTCGGAAATACTTTGCTTACGAGGAGGAAGGGCGGAAGAATAAGTAAGCGATGGTGATCGGAGGAACTGAGGCGAAGAGAAGCCGGTTACAGCACCTATACGAGTGGTAGCAATGAGAACACAAACCGTACCATGATGGTATCGGGCTGGATGGATGTTGAGTTGTTCATGATGTCCGAATCCACATTGTTCGTGATAGGGCATGATAACGATGGAAGGAAGACCTCATGTACGTCGATGTGATTTCGCTTGTGAGTGGAGTGGAAAATAGGCCTGTGTTTCAAGAGCATACGACGTCAGTCATGAAAATAGAAGTGGGATGCGCACATGTGTCAACAGCGCACTGAACTAAATGCGAACGTAAAAGAAATGAAGCACAAGGTTAAAGCAAGAGGTCTGGAAAATTAGCATGTAGGAGGGGGATTCAAGACTGTCAACCATGGGTGCCATCACGAGTAGAACGACACACCTATCGCTTTCATCCAGAGAAGGAGCGAACTGATGTGCCTACTAGAACCGGGTTTCAAACATTTTGTGTTTAAGTAGCTGGAAGTATAAATTTTGTGAAAGTGCCGACTTCTGTGGGGTGCTGATTGCACAGACCCTTCAGTCACTTTCCATGTAGAACCCTGGCTCCGGATGTGCCAAAAGTCTGTAGAATCATTAGTGCTGCCGTGGTTCGGTCCAGAACCACGGTCCGAACCTGACCAATGGTCAGGTTCTTCCTTGGTTCGGTCCATGGTCCAAGAATTGGGGCGGACCGGACCTGAGTGAGGTTCGCGGTCCACCATTGCCCGAATGGTTCTATGTTGGTTCGAACCTTCCCCGAACCGGTCCGAACCCCGAACCGTAAGAAGTTCTGTCACATTGTTGAAGCGTGTTTTGACACTGCCTTCAATGATCCACCTCGGCCTCAGGGAGCCCTGTTCTCACTATGAGCATTAGTCTCTCTCTTCCCTATTCTATTTCACGCCATGGCTTCATTCTATTTCACTCAGGTACAATTTCAAAACTTAGGAATCCTTGCCGTATGACTCAATTACACCACCCTTTCCAGTCATATGCGATTACTGACCCGACATTCTCCAGGACTCCTCGTTTCAACAATGTCTCACAATGCTTTAGGTATGTTGCGCATGTAGACTCGACTCTGGTTGGGGCAACTTTTTTTTACCATCCTATATAGATACAGCCTCTCCAGGACTCCTCAGACTCGGCAACCTCATTGAGGCAGGCACCACTCCCGCACCATCAACATATCATCCCACCCTCACGAGTCCCCCAATCTACTAGCCATTGACACATCAAGCATCTTAGATACAACTCGTTCCGTCTCATGTATGTACATGCGCAATGACATTGATATATTTCTCTTTGCATGACTCAGCGGAGTGCATCGTCGCCGGGAAAGGTGCTGTTGTTGGTATTGTGGAGGGATACAGAGCTCGTAGTGCTGCTGCGGTCGAAGTACTTCGACTATGTTTTTTTTTGCTACCTGTAGAACAAATTGGGTCCGGTTCGCGTTCGAACCGAAAAAAAACCGAACCTGACCACTGCGAACCGTTCGCAAAGGTTCGGTCCAAGGTTCATCAATAAAGGTAGAACCGGACCAAGGTCCAGTTCTTGGTTCTCATCAAACTGCCTCTGAACCGGACCGAACCGGACCACGGCAGCACTAAGAATCATGGCCAGCCAGTCACTGGCCGGAGTATGCAAACTCCAGCTGGCCGGAGTATGTGGAATCAGTGTTGACTGGTGTAGATATATACATATTAGAATTACTGTAAACACAATAACTAGCCTTATGCCTACAAAATGTATAATACAGCTGGCCGGAGTATGTAGAATTAGTGTTTAGTGTTAATATATATATAAATGATTACCATCAGTGGTAGTGGCTAGCTTTATGCCTGCAAGATATAGAATTCAGCTAGCTAGTTGGCTGGCCTGATTTCACTGCAGGTAGAATCAAGCTTGCCAGTATGCAATTCTGTAACCAATGACTGACCAGCCTTGACTCCACTGTTGTAGAATCAAGAATCAAACTGGCCAGGACACAATGTTGAAACTGATAACTGGCCAGTCTTGGTTCTACATGTTGTAAAATCAAGTCAGCCAGTCACTTGTTATTAAGTTGCATACTGGCCAGATAGCCTGTACAACATGTAGAATCAAGACTGGCCAGTTATCAGTTCCAACATTGCATCCTGGCCAGTTTAATTCTACAACCGTAGAATTAAAGCTGGCCGGTTTAATCCTATAGAAGAATCAAGCCTGGCTAATTATTGGTTTGGGATTTCTATACGAGTACTAGTCATTAGTTACAGAATGTCATACTGGCCAGTTATCAGTTTTAATATTGCATCCTGGCCAGTTTGATTTTACACCAGTAGAAACAAGGCTGGCCAGTTATCAGTTCCAACATTGCATCCTGGCCGGTTTGATTTTACACCAGTAGAAACAAGGCTGGCCAGTTATCAGTTCCAACATTGCATCCTGGCCGGTTTAATTTTACACCAGTAGAATCAAGGCTGGCCAGTTATCAGTTCCAACATTGCATCCTGGCCGGTTTAATTCTACAACATGTAGAATCAAGACTGGCCAGTTATTAGTTTTAATATTGCTCGGTTTAATTGTACAATAGTAGAAACAAGGCTGGCCAGTTATCAGTTCCAACATTGCATCCTGGCCGGTTTAATTCTACAACATGTAGAATCAAGACTGGCCAGTTATTAGTTTTAATATTGCTCGGTTTAATTGTACAATAGTAGAATCAAGACTAGCTAATTATTGTTTTGTAATTTCTATACTAGTCATTAGTTACAGAATTTCATACTGGCCAGATAGCTTGTACAACATGTAGAATCAAGACTGGCCAGTCATCAGTTTTAATATTGCATCCTGGCCGGTTTAATTGTACAATAGTAGAATCAAGACTGGCCGGTTTTCAATCACAACATTGCATCCCGGCCGGTTTAATTGTACAATAGTAGAATCAAGACTGGCCGGTTTTCAATCACAACATTGCATCCCGGCCGGTTTAATTGTACAATAGTAGAATCAAGACTGGCCGGTTTTCAATCACAACATTGCATTCCGGCCGGTTTGATTTTACAACAGTAGAATCAAGACTGGCTGGTTTTCAATTCCAACATTGCATCCCGGCCGGTTTAATTCTACAACATGTAGAATCAAGACTGGCCAGTTATTAGTTTTAATATTGCTCGGTTTAATTGTACAATAGTAGAATCAAGGCTGATCAGTCATTGGTTTCAGATTTGTATACTGGTCAGATAGTTCCTACGACATGTATGATCAAGACTGGCTGGTTATTGGTTTCAACATTTCATACCGGCCGACTTGATTCTGTCTATTGTAGAATCAAGGCTAACCAGTTATTGGTATCAGAATTACATGGACTGCATAGGGTAGATATAAGCTAGTTATATACTCTTATAAGGGCCAGCCATGTACATACATGCTGTAGGAACCATCTGGCCAGTCCATATCTTAAATACAATTATCTCGGCCAGCTGTGGACTACATAGAGTGGAGCTAGTGCTAGCTAAGCTACCTTGTCATTCATTAGCATTGAGAATTATCCTGTCATATTTTTCCTAGCAAAGACAGTATACCAGATCAAAGTATAAATTGACATCCATTGAAATTTTTCTCTGCCTCCTCAACAAATCTTCCCCACATCAAGACCTGCTGATAAGCATAGGCTTGATGACCAGGTCTGGTGGCTTGGCCACCCCTTCTCTCCCATTCATTCTGGTGGTACTTGAACCAGTTTATGGTCCAACCCATTTCATGTCTTACCAGCCTTAATTCCTCTTGCCATCTATTCCATCTAGCCTTAGCCTTCAACCAGTTCACCCTGTAGACTAGATCGGTTGGAGCTTTAGTGACATATCATAGAGATAAAGATTTTTTCTTACATTCATCTATCCAGGCATCGTCTTGACCTTGGCTTGCATTATTTCCCCTCCAAAACCAAGCCAGCCTGTCTGACCCTTGTCCAAATCTATTTTCTTCTGTCACCTCTTTGTCTATACTGAGCTCTGTAGGCGATATTGGCTGATAAAGACTCCCCAAGGTGGCTTTGTCCATGCCTAGACCTTCCATTGCTGACCTTGCCCTCTGATAGCTTCTTACACACTTGTCAATTTTGAGCTGACAGCGTTGAGCTTCTTGATTTGACCTAGTCCCAGCCCATGTAGAATTAGCACTTCGAAAATACTGACGATAGATGATGGCCTTATGACCAAGGGCCATTCGAAGCTTTTCGAGGCAGTCATTGGCTTGGCCCTTTCGAAGTTCTAATTCTTCAGCTTGGAGGGGACCCAGTCCGAGAGCCAATGCATCCTGGTAGGGCACTGATGATGGCATCCAGATACCCATCTCTTCAGCCAAGATTTCTTCGTCAATATACTCTGAGATCTCTTCATCTGAGACCTCTCCCCAACCATTTTCATCATGACCTGCATAGCAGAATCTAGGATCGTCGGAATGCACTGTTGCAGTTCCAAGATCCATACCAGCAGTCATGGCATCAGCTGTTTCATGAAATTTAGCTATCCTAGCTGTCAATCTCTGTCGCTTCTCTTCTATAGAAACTTTCTGTCCTGGGGTTGCATCAGTAGGAAGTTGTCGAATATCTGCCCTTAGTCCATCCCTAAAATAGTACTATGTCAAACGGGTTCTCTATTTTTATTGGTTACATACTGTAAATCCTCCAGATTGATGCCAGTAATGAGCCAAGAGACTGTCCCAGGTTTGCTAGTGTCGGTATTCTCAGACTCAGTTAATTTGAGTCTAATCTCTGCCATAGTTGGAGCTAGATACAAATACTGATCAGATGTCTATACAAGAATAGCAGCCTCACAACTAGACAGAGTTCACTTACCTTTGTTCATCTGCAACTGATAGATGTCAAGATACTCTCCACGTTGTTCCATGGCCTTTTTCTCATCGATCTTCCATATCGAAATCTTCTCAGGGTCCAGAGACAGAGTGAGCTCGTCAAAGGGAGACTTTGTGTCATCAACACCTTTGAGAGCCCGTTTGTACTTTTTCAAGAGAGTCTTCACTGGAAGCTCAATTGTCAAGCTTGTTCAAATGCAAAATTTGGAGGGCTTACTTATTCCCACTATTTTTTTCCAGTTTGAGTCTCGCATATGATCATCAAGAACTTCTTGACGGTGAGCCTGACTCATTGACCGAGCAGTTGGGGAGATCTTATTGAATGGTGCCCACAGAGTCTCCAAAATCTCCCCATCAACATGTCCAGCCCCTTGAATAAAGTTGAGGCTGTACCTTGCAAAGCAAGCTAATTTGTGAGCGCTAAGATGGAATTTTCCAACTGCTGGAACGATGTGCATATTTTCAGGTACAGACAAGCCCTTGCTCTGGGCTACTCTCTGTAGAAAATTAATGCTCCACTGACACCCCACATCATAAATGATGAGGGAAGAGTCTATACCAGCTGAATGATAATTCAATGCATTGCATATTGAGTAGTCGATATTCATGTGTCTAAAAATTACCTGAGCTTGCATAACATGTTGATTTGGAGGACATACACAGACCTTTCGCCCTTCTGAAAATCAACTATACTATGAGGAACAAAGCATCCATGTCGAGCACAAGCAGTTGCTCCTACACCTGTAGCTCGAAGATTGCTCCTGCTGATATTGGCTGCATTTACTGCACGATGATTGCTGCAAGAAGACCGCTACAAAGATAGTGAAGCATGAACGAAAAGTGGTTGTCATGAGCCAACTCACCTCTTTACTTTCTACAGCCGATGACAGATGAGTCTGGTATTCTTGATCTTTCACCATATACCCAAGCCCGTCTGACAAACTAATGTCCAACTGTGGTTTTCTCATTACCATATGTTGAGCAGTGAAGTTCCCGTCTACCACATATCTTTGTGAAACAAGCCAACTGTACAAACAGGTAAGCATAAGGTTAAAAATGTGCAAAAAAGAAAAGTAGAAGTCTCTCTCCGGACCAACTCTCTGGCTGGCATGTCTTTGAGTGACATCTATGCACCTCAGTTTAACCGGCCAGCATGGTTATGCATGCTATCTGTGTCAAGCTAGTAAGCCAATTTAATGTGCTGGCCGGCCTGGTTTTACATCCAGTCTATGCCATGCTGGCCAGCTTGATTAGAACATAAGTCAGTCCGGCCGGAGCTCTCGTACACTATGCAGTGTAGGGCTAGCCAGTGAGTATGATATTCTCAAGTGTGGTAGAGAAATTGAGTCGCCTCTCCTTAGAATGAGATGGATAAATGACTTGCCTTTCATATCTGGCTTGCCAGTCAGGAGGTAGGTTAATCCCAGGCTGTGGACAAGCAGGGCAAAACCAAGCCAGATCACCCTTGTCCGGTTTCTGCTCATCATTATGGGCAAAGCCAAACCATTTTCGACTCATCAAGTCTCTCCACAGTCGAGACACTCTCATAAGTTCTCGATATCGATTCTAGAAAAACAAATTGGTACTGTTAGTTTAACTTTCACCAAGAAGACTTATAAGACTTACAGGAACAGTATCTGGGAAACAGTTATTGGTCATTCGACGGATTTTTTCAAAGAAGCTGGATGCTGAAGTCTTGCACTCCAGTGCATCAATTAGAAAATGATTGAGGACATCAAAAGTAAAGGCAGTCTGTGGTCGAGTGGTACTGGCTGGAAATAATTTAGCTTTCAGCAATTGCAAATGCTGCTGACAATCGACCCCAGGACAGCTGCACCAGACAACGTTGTGCAAAAACACTCCAGTGGAATGTACAATGGTCAACTTGGTTGGTATAGTTGAACCATGAACTGTCTCCATTGGTGAAAAATTGGCCTCTGCGTCCATCGGAATATTCTTCCATGCATGCATGTCGTCAGAAAATGGACATGGTTGTCCCCCATGGCCCATATACCAGATAAAACCCAATTCTTCAAGTGATGTGTCGTTGAAGCATTTCCCAGTCCACTCTTGAACCTTGTGGAAGGGCAAAAACTGGTGAGCATTGACAATGCAAGAACGACAGAATGTCTGATCTCCACTGCAAGTCAAACAGCGGAATTTCCCTTCACCAATCTGACAAGACTGGCACTGGGATACATCGGAGGGTTTCTCCAAGTCAAGGAGAATATCCAAGTACAAGTCTCGGAAAGGCAGATATTCTTGGATGAAGTCATTTTGTGTCTGGTTGTAATAATCTCTATTTAGTACATCATTAAAAGACACTGAATCACTATGCTTGCCTTGGTTTTTCTTTGTGAGTTCTCTACATAGGAAACAAAGTCACCAAGGGTTTGTCTATCAAAATCTTCATGACTGTTTTGCAACCCTTGAGTGTCTTCTCTAATACGTTTACGAGGGCTGGAGGATGGAGATGGTGTTGGGGCAGTGTCATAAAGGCTATCAGCGCATGATTCCACCCAGGTTGGCTTCCTTCTCTTTCCAATGACTTGTTTATGAGACACATAGGCAACATCAAGGTCCTTGCCTTTAGACAAACGACCTCTTCCTTGGAAGGAAAATGTAGCTGCCTTGAGTCGAGTTTTTTTCTTGGGAGACATAGGGTTACGTGTGGGGGGAAAAATTGATATTATCAACATTCTATTTTTGATAGTTGAAACCATTCATAGGAATCACTAGATCACATCAACTAATCTAGTAGGTATACTGTCAAACACTTGATTTGTCCCATTCCACCCCTCCTCCTCCAAGAACCACTCCTTTCTTATCATCTACTTGTCACAACAAATAACTATCCTGCTGCCCCACCATCTGCAAAAAATAGGCCTGTGTTGGAAAGGGGGGTCTGGATACCCCGCATCTAGAGTGGATTTTATCCCTCATAAAATGGGCAATAACGAGCCTTTCTCCCGGACCCCATGGACCAATAGAATGTTGTAAAACCTTCCCGGAAATGAAGACCATTGTCCCAGGGTAATAATCCAGTTCGGCCCCAACATCTGCTAATGTCAACTTAGCCTCATGGCCACTGCCTAAACTAATCAGAAGATCAAAAAGAGAAGGTGCGCCACCAGAATCTCTGTGTGATAAAGTTGTACGATTTGCAATTATTTCCAATCCTGAGAAGATCGAGGGCCAATCACAGATGGGTGGTGATGTTCTATCAGAACCTTGAAGTTCCTCAATAATACGAGTGATTGCCAAGGTGCCTGCTTCGAATAGATCTGGAGCCGATACAGCGGTAATGGCATTCCAGAAAGATTCAGTAGCTGATAAAGCAGCTAGCCACTCTTGGACTTCCACAGACTTATAGGAAGCCGAGGTAACCATTGGGTCTTCCAGTCTCTGCAAATGAAATCAAACAAAGTCAAAAGTAGCTAAACAGCCACTAAATTTGGCCTATACCTCGTGTCTTTGCATAAAATATGCTGGTGATACTGTGACTCTGCCTGCTCCAAATTCTCCACCCCCCTCTGGGACAACAAAGCCTTGAGATCGCCAAGACTGTTGGGTGGAGGACGTAATTGTTTCAAGAAGTAAAGTCCGTAAACCCTTAGTGGCTGAGTTCACATATTCCTAATTTAATTTATCAATTGATGAGGGGAATTCCCAAGGAAGAATGAACATACAACCCGAGAAGAAGACAGAATATTTGGCAAGTAAATTGTTAAAATTTTACCTTGCCTGTCCACAATAGTAGCTGGTGCTGAAATTTTACCGATCATAGCTGCAGAAAAGTACTTTGGTAGCTGATTGGTATTAGCGAGGGGACCATCAGATTTAGGTGTAGAGACTTTGGCCATTTCGGCAAATCTGTCAACATCCCAATCCACATAATCTGCAAATGATGTGAATTTAAAACCAGGTGATATCTTGCAGAGTGAAACAACTCACAAGGATTTACCATTGCATGGGCAACTGTCAGTGCAGCTCGATTGATCTCATATTCTGAGATTGACGCAGAAGCATGGAAGTTGACATCACGTGTTGCTAAGCAACTGTCTAGCTCATGTCCAATTCTTAATCTTAAGTGAGACCATTTAATAGAGCGGATCAAATAAGGCCCTAAATATAACCTCTCACCTTGCTTTGTGTAGAAGGTGAGTTTGCAATATCCCCCCTCTGAAGATCCCTGTTGCTGATGATTTTCCCATAATTTCCTTGATCCTTGTGGTCAGAGCTGCTCTCAGCTTGATTGATTGACTCATTTGTTGGTCCATGGTGAGCAAGGAAAATTTTCAACCAGCTCGTTCGGATCAAGACTCAATTTAACTTATATGAAATGATTCCGAAAAAATTGTCCCGCGATCAAATTTGGATATATGAATGGAATCTACTGATGGAAGACTGATTAAATGAAGTCTTGCCCAGATTGTGACATAATTAGTACTGTAATAACTCGCTCAGATGCTGGAAGAGTGAAGACTAATATTGGCAGACTACCACAGAAGAATGAATGATATTCTGAATCTGGGACTACACTGTGGGATCCCTGTCTCAAATAACAGGAGACACTTCCAGCTGGAGTTCAACGCCTTGAGAGACAGCAAGGACTCACTTATTAAGAATGCAATCACAAAAACAGTAGTGTATAATAGTAAATTGGCATCCGGAGGACACCAGGACAAGTAGCAATGACGCCATATGATACAAACTGCCCTGCACCATCAGAAGGCTGACTCTTCCCTTCTGACCATGGAGGGGAGATACCTCTGAGGTTACCTCTGAGGCATATACTGGCTAGCCCGCCCTCAAAACTGTTCGTGTTAAGAGTTCTGCCTCAGAGGTAATACTTCGTTAGCTACACCTATACTGTAGGGTATTGAAAATGTTTTCTTTGTTAACCGAAGAAAACATTCTCAATACCCTGCAGTATAGGTGTAGCCAACTTACCTCTGAGGCAGAACTCTTAACACGAACAGTTTTGAGGGCGGGCTAGCCTCTAAGTGGCCTGTAGGGTATTGAGAATGTTTTCTTCGGTTAACAAAGAAAACATCTTCAATACCCTACAGTATATGCCTCAGAGGTAAGTTAGCTACACCTATACTGCAGGGTATTGAGAAACCCTGCAGGCCACTTAGAGGCTAGCCCGCCCTCAAAACTGTTCGTGTTAAGAGTTCTGCCTCAGAGGTAAGTTGGCTACACCTATACTGCAGGGTATTGAGAATGTTTTCTTCGGTTAACAAAGAAAACATTTTCAATACCCTACAGTATAGGTGTAGCTAACGAAGTATTACCTCTGAGGCAGAACTCTTAACACGAACAGTTTGGAGATACCTCTGAGGCATATACTGGCTAGCCCGCCCTCAAAACTGTTCGTGTTAAGAGTTTTGCCTTAGAGGTAATACTTAGTTAGCTACACCTATACTGTAGGGTATTGAAAATGTTTTCTTTGTTAACCGAAGAAAACATTCTCAATACCCTACAGTATAGGTGTAGCTAACTAAGTATTACCTCTGAGGCAGAACTCTTAACACGAACAGTTTTGAGGGCGGGCTAGCCTCTAAGCGGCCTGTAGGGTATTGAGAATGTCCGTCAGTCCAAAATATGCTAGCAGCCCAGGCAGATGGTGACAATGACGCCATATGATGACTCCCCTCTGTGGTCAGAAGGCAATTTCAAAGAAGAATCAACCTTCTGACCGGGAAGGGAAGTTTGTATCATATGGCGTCATGGCTACTTGTCCTAGTGTTCTGCCACCATCTGCCTATGCCAATAGTATATTTTGACTGGCAGACAATAATCAATGATAGCGTCCTTCAGCATGTCAATGGTGAGCCGCATCAAGGCAGAATTGAGATCTACATAACACATTATCTATCTAAGACATGTAGTAGATAATAGTTGCTTTGGTCTGTGCAGCGTTTGATTATTATACACTACTGTGCTTTTGCGCTTGCTTTCTTAATAAGGCTCTTTGCTAATATACACACGGTCACGTGACCTTTTCAGCCGGCAGCAAATAAAGTGCATCCATCAACATACATTTTCAAATACAAAGTACGAGTGACAATAAATTTTACTACAAGTAAGCAAACAAATAAAGTAACAAATACAAAAGGGGAGGCGAGACTTCAATGAGGGGGCCCTCCTCACCAAAGCCTCAACACTCCAGGTGAAAATGTATGTAGCAAATATATATATAATACAATACAAATTTGTCCTGTAGAAACGTTAGACCGAAATTTAAGACAAGATTAACACTTAACTAGAGAGCACTTGCCACACAAAAGTACCGGCAGGTTCAGCAGTCTAGAGAACAAAACAGATCAGTTAAGGTCATCAGGAATTGAGCGCTTACCACCATTAAAAAGTTGGAGCAGGCTATTAAAAGTCGGAGCAGGAGCCACTGACAAGTGGCATGCACTGCGATACCCCATTCCAAGAAGCAGGAGCCACTGACAAGTGGCATGCACTGCGCTGAGCCCCAGTCCCAATAAGCAGGAGCCACTAACAAGTGGCATGCACTGCGCTACCCAATTCCAAGAAGCAGGAGCCACTGACAAGTGGCATGCACTGCGCTGAGCCCAGTCCCAATAAGCAGGAGCCACTAACAAGTGGCATGCACT